ACAGGAAGCTGCTGATTCCTCCTTCCTTTAATTCTCATCTGCATGCTGACATGGTCCTAAACGCCCTTATTTGGACCCAAGGTTAGCTCTCTGACATTTCCAGCTGATTAAGAATTTGGCTGGGCCGTGACCTTTGCGTAGCGTGAATGTGGCTGTCATTGCATTAGTGCCTCCATTATCATGCAGTCACATCTAATCTCACCTGGAGCTGCATGCTGCCCTGTTGGATGGGACCTCTCAGTGCATGTGTGGATCATTTGAATACACCAGAGAAGGAGACGGCACTGAGGGCGAGGCGTTCAGGTGAGGCCGAATCAAATCAATGTCATTAGAGGGAATGGATTCATTATTTCTGGCTGAATTACGCCCCAATCGCGCTTCTGTTTAATAAGCTAAATGATATGAGGGGGAAATAGGTGCTGATCCTGTAACATTTACCTCCTGCAGCTGGAGGAAGGGCTCAATTTCTGCAGTTAGGCTGGAAGATGTGAGTGACACTGAAAGGAAGAAGGTCACCGAATGAAAAGATTGAAGTGAAAGATAACACAAAGCAACATCTGCAGTCTGTTGCTGTCTGGTTTTTGAATGCTTTACATTTAATGTTCAAAGGATAATTTTGCTTTTTTAAGCTACAAAGATTGTGTAGTTGTTGTGGTTTACATCCCACACAATCCAACTACAGAACAAAACATTTTAGAAATTTATTTTAGATTTTGCTGTAGAATTGTAAAACGTCAGTGGTGACGTAGCTTAAAAAAAGACCAACTCCTTTCCAGACTCTAAAACTGTTAAGTTTTCTCATATTACTCACCCTCTAACCAGTTGATCACAGAAAGTTACAGGGAGAAATTTGAGTTCCTCATTTTGACAATTATGAACTTTAACTGATTTAATTTAATGGAATTCTTAGATCTCCAGACATATGTGCAGCTTTTTATCAAAAGAACTTGAGCAGTAATTAATTGTTCCTTCTGTTGTTTTTCCCAAAATGTGTGGCATGCATCCTTATTTAGCTCAAATGAGTCAATATTCTGTGAATCCACTTTACTTTTCTTTGTACTTAGATTTGCCAGTGAGTCTATATCAGTTTTTTAAAAGCTCAAGCTCAGTCAGATTTATCAGAGTGTCTGAACATGGAGTTTTTGATTTAAATTTAATCAAATTTAAATCTGTGAATTGAAATGAACCTCTCTAAACCTCTACACCCTCTTCAGTCTCATGTTTCTTTTCTATCTTTAAAAGGCTGTTTTTTGATCATCATTGTATTTAGCTCCTTTCATCTTCTTCAGAAACTAAGCTGTCCATCCCTGGAGTGAGGCTGTGAGTCATGCTCTCCTTGCCCAACCTTTGACTAGACAGTCAACACGATTTCTTTGCAGGTTCACAGCTCTACCATGCTGTTTTTATTTTTGGGTGATAGATAGATAGATGGAACCGAGCGCTGCGAGACGTTCGATACTTTTTCTGGTTGTCTTATGACCTAAAACTGCTTTAAACTTCATCACAACTTTATCCCTGTGCTGTCTGGCTTCTATGCTTTGGCTTTCCAACACTGACAAACATAATCTTTGTAAAGAAAAGTTCAAATAACTGCATGGGTACATAGCAACTGTGAGATGGTATGACAGCCCTGCGTCTATCTCTCATTGGCTACAGGCAGGATATAGAGTGTTTACATTGTCTGAGATCACCTACAAAGACATTTCACTACACAACAGTCTGGTCTTTTCCACCTTAAGAACCAGTGTACTGTACTGTCTGCAGAAATGTCTGCACACATCAGATCGCTGCCTTGGAGAAAGTCGAGGAGCTTCGTCATCCCCCGCTAGAATTCTCCCTTCGCATCGAAAGCAGTTTTCTTTTAAAAGATATTTTAAACTTTCTTGGACTATTTGACAACCAGAAAGCACTATAATGAAGTTGACACAAAGATGGTATAAATAGGTGTTAGGTAATTCCGTACGGCTTTGTTCATGGAGTTAAAATGAAAGGATACAGCGTGGGACTTCTCACCCGTCCTCCAGCTCTTTTGACTTATTTTAATGACCCATTTCCTGGCTTTTATCTCAGTTTTCAGTGTCACCTTTCTGAAGAATCTCTCTTGCATCATTAACTCAAAATCATCTATGTTGTCAACAAACTTTCATCTGTCAAAGAACAACATGGGATGTCGTTTCCAGGGACTTTTCAGACCTGCCAAACATCGATTCTTACATCAGTTATTGAGATTCCTCCAGCAGCTCCAAGGACCAGATCTGTCCTAATGATCAGAGAGATGACTGAGATTTATGTCAGTCTGGGGCTAAGGAAGCGAAACATGCAAATACATTCCGGATAATGATGCCGGGCTCCTGAAGGCGAATCAGGAAAATAATGTACACTCATCGTCTAACTGAACTGTCTCCCACTGGGCCAATCAGAGCAATCTGCAGAATGCTGGAGTGGAGTGATGCTGTACATCGTTTCCGCGAGTTTCATCCATGTTTAATTAGCCGGTGGAGCCGTTACGGCATGCAGGAGGCTGAAATGATATGAGTAAAATGAGAGACAGCAGAAACACAAACACCCAGCTCAAACCGCAGCCCTGGTATTGATCATGTTCAGTGTTGACATTTCAGTTGGAAGATTCAGTGATTCCTCGTCACTTTTTCCTGAAAACACTCGCAGATAAATCTGCCTGCCGCAGAGAGAGCGCCGCTTCCTCTGCGAGCTCACTTTCATCTGCGCACCTTATTTTACTGAAAGTCGGAGGCGGCTGGCTCACAGAGGAGGAGGAGGAGGGGGAGGATGCAGAGCAGAGACAAAACCAAGAGGAAGCAGAGGAAGTAAAGCAAAAGCAAATCTCAGCAGCCAAAAAATAAATACATAAATAAATAAAAAATGAATAAATACAAATCCTGAACTCTCAGCAGCCATCTGGCAAGCTGTGTCACTCCACTGCCCCAATCCTGAACCCTGCATTTCAGGGTACATTTTTTTAAATATGTGGCATAAAATTTCATTGCAGCATCCTTCATTTGTGTTTGGAAAATATTCTAAGGGCATATGCACATTAAAAAAAAAAAAATCTGTTGTAAAATTAAACTGTATTCTGGTCTGCACCAGGAGACTGGTCTGCTTAGGTTTACTGCAATTCGTCAAGCTTTTGGAGCACCTAAGATTTAGTACATGAAGATCCAGATGGACTTTACAGAGTTTTGCATCATTACATCCAACGTGATCCAATACTTTTTTTTTGTTTGTTTATTTCTGGTTTAGCTGCAATATTTCCCACCAAAACAGCAGTAAAAAAAAATCAGTACTGCTCCAAAAACTGGCTGATTTTTCCAAGTTTTTGCTACATGAAAAGAAGAAAAATTAAGGAATAAAGTGAAACAATTTGCATTTGGTACAAGATTGCCACCATGTTTATGATTTTGTGAGGATATACTCTTTGTGTCACATTAATGCTGTAAACATTGATCCACTCATTCCTTTTAAATCAACTTAAAAGTGGTAAATTTGCACAGATGTTGGTTTGAAAAGGAAAACTCTTGATCCCTCTGCACATGGATACTCCCTAAAACCTCCAGGATACAAAGATACAAGAACGGATTCTTGTTCCCCATAAAGTGCCGACAAAGTATTGAAGTGCCATCATGTTTCAGATCAAATAAAGCTCCTCAGCTGACTGCTTTCGCTGTGGAGTAGAAACTTTACTCTTTCTGTTACTCCTCAGGTTGACCAGAAGCTCATTTCCCCAACTTGTTTCTAAGATAACCACCTAAAAGTAGAAGTTTGGATCATTTTTACCACAACAAACCCAATGCCCTGATCCCTACAGAAAAAACCCTGATCCATCCATTCATGTCCTGCTCCATCTTTCCATCACTCAAGAACAAAATACCGATGTAGAGCAGGAAGAATTTCCCCAGTTTTTAATAGGGAATCATGGCATCAGAGGTTACAGATGCATTTACTCATAATTATGAAATGGATTGTTTTTAGGACCTTAATTTGGTGTGAATTAATATATAAAACAAAAGTAAAAACGTTCTTGGTCCAACTTTCAAAGGAAAGCAGGCATTTTAATTAGCACTCAGCTGTCCCTGTAGCCAACAAATGATCAGCAGATGAAGACCTGGATTAACTCTGGAATCTCCCATCGCTGTTAATGACTGATTAGCTTCAGGCGCAAAAGTAGCAGAAGACATTGTAGTTTCATTGTGCAGTATATTCTCTCATAAATCAAAACTTGTCCCCTCTGTAGGAGTCCCACCTGCTGCAAAAGTGATTCAAGCTGAGTGCAACTAAGATAAATATTTAAACATGAGGTCAGATTGGTCAGATCTCTTCTGACTATAAGAGGCTTTATGTGTTTTATTTATTTATTTATTTTTTTTACAAGCTACAGCAAACACTTTGCTCTCTGCTCAAGAACTGCATAGTTTCTGTCTGATATGTGGAAAAGTTTTCTCTTCGTGGGTCCTGGAACAGCTCAGTGTCTCCCTGTGCTTGGAGGTCAGCTCTGTGACATTCTGCATGATGAACAGCTGTCAGGGAAGAAGACACAGGAAGCTGCTGGAAGCAGATGCTGATTGGTTATCGGTGAGGATCGGCTCAGCAGCTTGCTTCACTGTCACCTCCTTATCACCGCTGCCAACAAACTGTCAGTCCAGGTCAGGCCAGGTCTGACCTTTCAGCACCACTCCAGGTCCATCAAGTCATATATGTGTTTATTTTTCAATGTTTCTGGAATGCCGGATCATTTATCTTTATAAAAACAAAAAGTTAAACAATGTTTTGTTTTAATTCTGCTTCAAAATTATGCAGTATTTGGGTTTAAATTCAAATAAAGCACATTGAAATTTGAGACTGTAAAACATTTGGAAAAGTTAAAGTAGTACGACAGTTATCCCTAATTTCTCATCAGTTTTTTTTTTTTTTTTTTTTGCTTGCTTGTTTGGAAATGTTTTGGGAATCCCGTTGTGATCTTGGCACAAAAAAGTCAATTTCAACGGTTTTCATTTTCTCAGTTTTACTCCGTCATAAATCAGTTTACACCATCAGAAAAAGACAGTCATTCATGATTCAGGTCGCCTCTTGTTTGGACTTCTGTAAGCATAAGGATAACTGATGAGACAACCTGAACTCTGCTGTGAAAGGCAGGACGCCGTCTGTCAGCTCGACTCTGCGCGTCCGGCTGCTGAAAAGCCTCAGATTAATAATTCAGGCCGGTCTCAGTCTCATCAGGTCAGCAGGTCATTTCCTCCTGGGAGACGCTGGATGGTTATCAGCAGAGATGAGGTTACAGTTTAGGCTGAAAGAGGGGGGGAAACGCTCGCACAAAGAGGAGTCCGCTGTCCTTGTGGTGAAGGCAGAGCAGGCGTGAAGCTGTCGGGATAACAACAGGATCAGTATCAGTCAGACGTGGACGTCAACACGTCTGCCTAATGAGTCTGACATTGGAAGTCTGAGACAGTTAGATATGACACGTCTGACAGTCAAATGACCTGAAGACGCTCCACTCCTCTCTCTGATTGTTCTGCGAGTTGGTTGTTTGGAGCAACAAACTAAAATTAGACTGGAGTTACACTTTACTCACAATCAGCAGCAATTTTAGACTCTTTTTGATCACTTGGCTTTAAGCATGCTCTGAATTCAGACTCCAAACTTTAGACCCATTTCCAACTTTCAAAGAGAAACGGCATGAAAACCAATTTGGTGTTATTAGAAATGTTGCAGGAGCACGACTTCCTTCCTAATCCCTTGGGAGGCTTCCAATTTTTCTTAATATCCAGCCACGTTCTAATGGGTCACAGAGGACCTGGAGAGCTGAGTCAGCTCCTAATACATAACTGAAAATTAAAACAAAATAAAGTCATCTAAAGGTAAGACACTTTGCAAGCTCTAATGAGAAAAGCATATTTTGCAAATAACCATTTTTGGTATAAAACAGTCCTTAGAGTCCTGTGTTCATCAAAACGTATTCTAATAGAAAGAAAAAGACAAACTAAGGAAAGGTTATAATGAAATGAGATTAAATAATTTCTAGGCAAAATAGTTTACATGAATGACCTAATTACTTTGTGGGGTGAAAAATGTATCCAGCAGGATGCCATCAATATGTTTTCTTATCCCTAAAATATAGTTTGTAATTTTCTTTGATGTAGAGTTATTGCTTTAGTCTCAGGACTGAAGCCTTAGTAATCCCTTCCCAGTGATAAGGTTGATTTTTGACTGCTTTAATTTATACCACACATCAAAAGAACAACAGATTTGAATTCCTATAAAGTTTCTTGTTTAAAATGATTTTTATGAACACGGTTTTTAACTCATAGTTTCCATGTCTTTTTATCTGGAGAACTTTGGCACAAGAGCTTCTTATGATGCTTTGGACGGTTTGTATTTGTTGAAGGAACTATTCTACAGTGGACCAGTTCAATATTTCATCAACTAGCTTTAGCTAGCTTGAGTTTCAGAAACATATTGGTTTGACTAAAAACTTTGTGCTGCAACCTAATCAAGAAATTCAGGATCTAAAATTTCTCTCCATCTCATTTTAGAACGTTTATGTAAATCTTCCCTAAAATGACGGAAACCTGGTTTTTCTTCCTTTTTGTCTGTTTTCAGCTGAACGTCCCCAAACATTAACATGACAGTGACTGATGCTCGTTAGCAGGATGTTCATTATTGGAGCACAAGAATGTGTTTTGCATCTGCTCCAAATAAATCACAGCTTGGCTCTATTCACTGCTGTGTTGTGATTCATATCATCTCCCATAATCATAACTCATTCTGTCACCATAATTAGTTAACTGTGTTTAATCACATGTAAAATTGATCCCGGGATAAGTAATGTTTCTGGAAATCTCCTCCCAACTGTGATTGCGCTGTCCGCTCATCTGTAACACTACCGCGCTAATGACTGTGCTCACGTTGTGGCCGTCTGGTTTAGCGACATCCTCATGTTTTCCTAAAACCAGGAGTCCAGGGCAGTTCTTGATCAATAATTCCTTTTGCCTGCTGCCATGAAGTTCCGAGGAAAAAAACAGTGGAGGCTGGGAAGTCTCAGAAACATTCAGGCGTGTCGTTTCTGCAGGACAGATCCTCCCGAGACGGACACAGATTCCTTCAGGCTCTGTGTTTTTATTTTTGCCTCCCTTCTTGCTGCATGTTTTTTTTTTTTTTTTTTTTGTTGTTTTTGGGGTGAAATGCGACTT